CTACTACTACTACTACTACTACTACTACTACTACTACTACTACTACTTTTTTTGGGATGTAGGGATTCTATTCAGACCTATTCGATTGTTTGCTAGGAAGATGGGCCGACTCCGAAGAGCAAGAGCACATGCACTTGCGCGCGCCTCGTCGAGAGCTTGCGGAGTAAGGATGGCCTCTGTCGTGCAAGGTCCCGACGTGTGGCAAACAAATGTGGGGCATAGATCGAAGGGAAAACAGGTGCAAACATGAGATCGTACTAGATCAGTCATCATGCCAAGAAGAGGATACCAAATCAGTGCTTGCACATGTGGGAACAAATGGCAAAAAGGGGTTGATCTCATGATTTGGGTTTGTGAAGAATCAATCGGCGCACACACAAACATAATCTCCATTGAACAAATTCGTGCTCACACTCCCAAGAGCTCACAACATGAACACTACTCTAAGTTGATAAAAAGAAGAAAAGAACGACTCACAGCACAACAACAGGACATGTCCATCTGTCCATTCATGCAGCAATACAATCCAAAACACTAATCCAAACGTTTTCTGGATCGATTTGTCTAGGAATTCTCTATGATGCATCCTTGGACTCACCCAAGTCCACGCTCTTCACCCGGACCCTCAAACAGACACACACGCCTCCCCCACACACCGGTGGGTCCAGGAGACCGCCGGCGCGTCGGTGGACGATGACGATGCCTTGACCTGCTCGGCCACGTACTCCTCCACGCTCATGGTGGGAGCTAGGCCTTCAAGCTCCTGGGGGCAACCGAAAAAAGAGAGAGATCCACCGAAGGAGTGGCCAAACCGAAGCCCGAAAAACGGCCAAAACGGTCGTTTTCCGTGCAGTTTGGCCGGATGAAACGGATTTTCAACCGGTTTTTTTCGGCACAAGGAAGACTGAAATTGGGGGTTCCAGACGGGCACACTGGGATGTAAGTGGCTTTCCACTACGTACTCTTCGTGGAGAAACCTCCAATAGTGATGGACACTCCTCAGTCGAATCAATGGAAGTTGCAATCATTTTATCTACCACTGACAGGTTTCACTTACCGTCAGTTCCAAACTGCCACGTCTGCTTGCGCCACCCCTCTGGTCGCCCATGTTTTCCCTTTTGGGCGCATGCAATCGCATGCAAACAAACGCAACGTACCAATGGTCAAACCAGAGGGTCTTCAGAAACCGACAGAAGCAACACAGAAAAACACCGCAGTCACGTTTCAACCACCAAACACACCCACGTAATTATATATAATAACTACCAAACCAACTTGCGAGCGGTCCGTCCTCGCCCCTTAAGGTCCTTCCGCATATGTGGGGTACCCAAGGGTTTGTATGTACCCAGAAACAGTATAAGACAAAACATGCGCACCACCCACGGAACAACCGGAGTAAAACGCGGTTAGTTCACAAGGTGAATTATCAATTCAAGCATTCAACATTTCAAGAGGCGAATGACAATGTTTCGAAGCTCTGCTTGTTTCGGAGGCATTTCTTTACTTTCTGGTATAATTTTTGCCCTTCATCAAATGAAATGGACGAAAGTGGGGACTCAACAGGCGGAGGTCCCTGTGAAATCAAGGGCATTTCAAGACGTACATTGAGAGGGTAAGGTTGATTCGCAATAGAAGAATAGTGCACCAAGTTTTCCATGAGCAAATTAGCATGTGGGACTTCCGGGCGTGAGGAAATTCCTCCTACCAGGCGCGGGTGATAACCGAGACGAACAAGGGACGACGCGCCGGTCGGTCTTCTTATACCGTGCGAAAATTTGACATTGGAGAGTATTTTCCAAATAGCGGACCACGGCTCTAAGATTGTTGGCTTGGTGCCAAATACTACGGGCCTCAGGCTTCTGGACTTTGGCATCGGAAGAATCAAATGCGACGGGATAAGCACGTTTTTTTGTACCATTATAGATCCAAAGTGGCAGAAACGACCCATAGTTAGTTGCGTAACAAATCGCCAATTCAAACCAGGTTATGCCGAAATCGGAATTCTGCCGTGGAAGGGAGGGATCGCGCCATTTAAATTTACGAAACAGGTGCCACACATTAAAGGCAATATGAGCCCCAGCGGGGCAAGCCTGGGCAACCACTTCCGGCAAATCTGAATCGAAAGACCACGGGGTATCCTCAATCGACCAAGTACTTAAAATCATCTGAAAGTTAGCATATTCATCCACGGAGACATTTGTATTCTGAGTAACAGCAGGATGCTCTTTATGCAGCTTCAATCGGGAATGCAAAGAGTTTAGCTCGGCCAAGTACAAATAGACTGAGAACAGCGAATCAATCTGTTGTCGAGAGTGTTCCGAAATGGCCCCTAGTAGCATCCAACATTGCGGGAAGATCACGCTTATTAACTTCCTTAGCGACCTCATCTGCTAAGTCATTTCCTAGAATTGTATAGAGGTCATCTATGTTTGCCGCCTCTTCCTTAATCCGATGGGACTTCACTTTATGGATGTGATGATACAAAGGGTTCCAGCACCGTGCTAGGGTACAGATCAAATCGGCACGCGCTAATTGATGGGTTTTGCCTGATAACTTATGTGCAGCAATTGCCTCAACAATCTTAACAACAAAGCTGGAATCCGAGAACACGGACATAAACCGATGAGGCTGATGGTGATGGAAGTGTTGAGCCAACCAGGTCACTGCTTCAAGTTCAGCTCGGTTGATGGATTGGAATCCTTTTGTATGCGAGGTTTGTGTGACCACAAAGTCATTAGGCGAAGGATCCGAAGGTGAGTGATGAACATGTTGGACAATAGCCCACGCAGCTCTACAACAGTTTTGTTCACGAGGCTTATCACAGGTACCATCAGTGTAAAATACACAATGCTCCTGCGGCGTCAGAAAGGGTCGGTCTAGAAAGGGACCTAGGCGACCCAATTTAAGACGATTATAAACAATCTGCTGCTGATGGCTGGTAGCTAATGGTAACCATAGCAGATTTGGGTAACTAGATAGAATTTGGATGGCAGTGGGATGGCCGTCACGAACATGCAGAAACTCCTTGCAATGCAAAAGTCTGTGCTCATGAGTATCTATTTCACCACAAAAAGGGCACGACACAGAGGCTGTAGCATCCCAAATAGCTTTAGTGGCTCCTGTCTGAAAGCCCCCTGTAAGATTTAACGCCACCAAACGGAGGGAAGCATCCGATAGTTTCTGAACGGCTTTATGTTGCGTGAAGAAATCAAAAGGTTGGAGAGTCGCTCCTTTGCGATGTTGAACTTGTTGAAAGACAAAAAAAGACCAGGCTTGTTTGAGGACATGACGAATTTCTTTAGTTGATTGAACTTGCAACCATACCTCATGGCCACTAGGCATTTGGACAATTCCTTCTGGTTTGGGGAGCCAATGGACTTTTTGCAGGTAGCAAGCCAAGGCCCCGCAGGGTCCATAACAGGGTGGATCAGAGCGGATTCGCTCCCACATTTCAGCCGCGAGATGAGGGTGATAATGGAACAAACGCCGAAAACTACACAAGGCAGTTGCGATGACGTATAACAGAGGGTCTTCAACTTTATCACTTAACACATGCAGTGCGAGAAATGAGGAAGCGTATTTGTGCGGACCTACTAAAACATCGGATGCCTGGCGTCGAAGTTTAGTAAAGTGGATGTCACCGACCAACTGGCTTTCCGCCCCATAAAAGGCCAAAGGCCAGATAGCAGTCTGAATCTTGCTGGCTTTTTCACGAAGTGGTATCTGTTGCTTAGCCAAGCGACCTAACCTACGACCGGCGGCTGCATCCTATCTTTGATGCATCCAAGAACCACTTTTTTGGAGTACTGAAGCATGCACCCTAAGTCCTTAGATGCTTGTTTAACGGTAATGGAGACTTGATCGTGGTCAAAAAGAGACTCGGTGTGTTTCCAAAACTGTCTCATTTCTTTAGAGGTTCATACGTAGTGCGCTGGTAAAATTGAGTGTGGAAGTCATAGCCCGGAAGAGAGCTCTTTGAGACGATGACAGAAAGGTCCAATTATCAGCGTATGTGAACGGGCGAACTTGGACATGTGTCATGCAGTGGAAGAAGGCGGCAGCTATGGTTAACATCGCGCAAACCGATAAAGCATCCCCCTCTGGAGCCCCAGTCGTGGAGCCTTGTGCCTTACTAAATTGTGAACGTATTTGGAGCATACGCTGCATCTTATTTAAGGAACGAATCCAAAAAGAGATAGCAGTATCTGAGGCTCCAAAATGAGTGGGCAGATGTCGAACAATTTGGCGTGGGATCAAGTTGAATGCCTTAACTAGATCAAGTGTGAATCCACCCACTGGTTGGTTTGAGACGTGAGCCTTTTCGAGCAAAAATTGTTGTTGAATGGTAATATCTTTGACTGCATGAAATGGTAATCCACCCGCGATGCCAGGGTCCCATGTTTTGCTCCATGCTTCTAGCTGATCAGCGATTAGCTTAGAGGATAATCTTGGCAGATAGCCTAGAATTGTAATTGGCCTTCCATCGGAGAATGTCTCGGGAGACAGGACTTTTGCTAACAAGATTACCCTGGCCAGCTTTTGATTAGATGTAAAATTAGTTGGCCAGATGGAGCGAAAAATGTGAGCGAGGTCATCAAGAGCTGCCGGAGGTAACATTTTAAGTTCCTGGGCTCGCCATCCGTCAAACCCTGGTGCCTTGTAAGATTTTAAACGATCAATCGTTTGTCGGATAAGCATTGGATCGTCCCAAACAAGGTCAACCCGTGGCTGTGGGGGGATGTGTTGAGTCACTTCGTCGAGGACAGTTTGCCATGGGTGCAATGTGTCTGCCTCCTCTTGGGAGTCCCTACGCCACATTGGGTTCCAGTACTGAAAGAAATAATGTGACAGTGTGTCAATTTGTTGCGTGTATTGATCTTGACTCAGAGTGTGACGGACAGGCAGAGTTTCTGTAGGAGGTTCAATATGAATCAAACGGGATTCCTGACGTAAGATTTTAACGACTATATCACCAAAATGCGCCTTACCTGGGGAGAACGTTGTGTCTGTCGTCAGTAACAAACGCACTGACCCCTTAGACAAACGAACCAGTTTTGCTTCGGACTGCACTGGACACGGGAGACCAGATATAACCTTCTGTTCAGTTTCTCGAAGTGCCCGAAACACCAAGGATCCATTTTTGTCTTTTTGGTCTTGTTGTATCAAATGTTTCTTTGCCGCCCGCCGAATCTTTTCCTCTTGACGGACGGAGAGGTCAGTCTCATGTTTCGTAATTTGCAAAAATAAATGCAACAACGGTGGGTCAGGCACATTCTGTGGTAACAAAGGAACACATTCAAACTGAATAATCCAACGTTCCCAAGAATGACCAAAGCCCTGTGCACGCCGGATACATTCCCACTCTTTATGGAGCGCCTGTCGAGAGATGGGGGGGACGTCCTGCCAGTTGGGATAAACGGATAAAATTTTCTTAACTTGACGGAGCAAGGAGGCTAAACGCCGAGTTTGGCGTACCTTTAAGCAAGTCTTGAGAGATGTGGGTTCTCCAGGTGGATTAAAGCCCCCGGTCAAGTCATGCTTCACACTGCGCATGGGTGTCGGACGCACATAGCGAGGTGGTTGACATCTTCCACGAAAATGAGCGGGGAGTCTATTCCGTGGATTACGCAATGGATCTTGTCGATGCATACACTGCAGAGTTCTCACGCGGCGTTCTCAATAACCTCGGACCACATACTTAGTTTATGTTCTGAGTCGGCAGTTGATTGAATATGTTGAGGTAAAAAGGAACGTGTGGCTTGT